CCCCAAAAAAGAAACAGACACAGCTGAAACAATACTAACAAACAGGTGAAACACTAGTGGTTGCTAGGATACCAGCTAACAATCCAGCCCAATTTAGACAAATGAGCATTAGCTAAAACTGTAGCTAACAGTTAGAGCAGGAATTACCTGGAATTATCAAAACAAAATACGCCGAGGTTTGTAGCAGAATTCCCAGAGCAGCTGTGGGAAGGATCAAAGACGGCGTTCCCTTTTGATGAACCATAAAATGATCTTTGAGGAAGAAGACGCCGACCATAAACATGTCTGTTTTAGACAAACCGTTGCCTTTTGTCATTTGTCTTACGCTTCAAAGCAGCACTTCAAAAAAGGAAATAATAAGCAGACTGGTACAAATACAATAAAATCATGACTAATAGTCCTGCACATGGTTTCCAGCTCCGACTTAAAAGATTTCCCTCCAACAGATATATGGTGTACGTATCTGAACGAACACCACTGACCATTTATAACTTCCTACTCTGACAACAGTCTTTCAGGATGAGCCAGTCAAATTAAGCCCCGTGATCCTGGACTCAACAGATTCCAGACCGATCCTTGTGCAACGTCAACGCTACTGAAGGAACTTCCTGGAAAAGTACTCACATGCTGCCATGTGTCCCTGATGAGCGGCCTGTACCGCAGGAAGTACTTCAGGGGGAAGTTGTCCACGTCGGGCCACGTGGCAGGACTCTGCCAGGTGACCTCCAGCCGCCGGGCGTTGAACCTGATGGGAGTGGCGGTCACCCGTTCAGGAGGGTCTGGTTTGACTGTGGGGTGAGAGAAAAAATGACATCGAGGTTTTTACAGGTTCATTTGAAACGTTTTCATTCTTGGATTTTTTTTCTGTGTTTCGACGTGTTCTCTGCAGACGAGGACGATCCTTGGACCAACAAGGTCAGCGCAAAACTCCCCCCCATCAACCAACGGTCACATGGAATCTAACAAGGTCAGCGCAAAACTCCCCCTGGTGTTCATGAATGTTAAAGTCACGGTGGTTTTAGGGACATCCATCAACCAACGGTCACACGGAATCTGACCTCACATCACACAGGACAGAGGTTTCCTGTGGCTCATATATCCATGTGGCCCATATATCCATGTGGCCCATATATCCCTGAGTAAATGTAGTCCTGAGTAAATACATTTATACACAGGATGGTTTTCAGTACTACATACCATGAGCTGAGGTAAATATAAACAAATATACTGTATATAACAGCAAGTGTACATATTAGTATTTATCTGACCATCCTGACTCTGTCTGTACCAAATACTACAGACACTGACGGACACTGACGGACAAACGTAAAGGTTTGACATGAAAACCACGAAGAGAAGTTTCAACAACGTGAAAACTGGATCAACGTTGATCGAGTGTTCAAGACGGGGCCTGCGGTGCCGTGGCCGTACACAGGGAGGTGCTCTGGCCCAGTCAATATCATCTTACTTTATTCTTTCCATCTGTTGAAAACGTTCTTGTATCTGAAGAGTCTGTGGGAGCGAGAAGTGAAGAGCAGAACCACAAAGGAGTCAGTGGAGACCAGGAGACAAAAAAAGACTCCTTTGTTCAGAACAGCTTTGTCCGGCGGCACATGTGAGCACAGATGAAAAAGAAAGAAGCTCAGTGACATCAGTCGGGGCGGGGCCTCCCAGGGGGTCCAAACTATTCATCAGACTTGAAACATGAAGTAGAAGCTTTGTGGAGCTTTGGACCAGCAGCACACACACAACCTTCTTCTGCTGACCTCTGGGGGGCACCAGAAATCTGACCGGGATCATCCAATAACTGTGGAGCTGAGACACTGATGTTTGATCAACGTTTGACATGTTGTTTCTAAGGTCTGCGCCCCAATGTTTGTTACCAGTATCATCAGCTGTTCTGACCCTCACAGTGAAGTCAGTGATGTCAGTGAGGTCAGTGATGTCAGTGAAGTAAGTGATGTCAGCCTTGTCATTGATGTCAGTGATGTCAGTGAAGTCGGTGAAGTCAGTGATGTCAGTGAAGTAAGTGATGTCAGCCTTGTCAGTGAAGTCAGTGATGTCAGTGAAGTCAGCGATGTCAGTGATGTCAGTGAAGTAAGTGATGTCAGTGATGTCAGTGACGTCAGTGAAGTCAGTGATGTCAGTGAGGTCAGTGATGTCAGTGAAGTCAGCGATGTCAGTGATGTCAGTGAAGTCGGTGAAGTCAGTGATGTCAGTGAAGTCAGCGATGTCAGTGATGTCAGTGAAGTAAGTGAAGTCAGTGAAGTCAGTGAGGTCAGTGATGTCAGTGAGGTCAGTGATGTCAGTGAAGTCAGTGAAGTAAGTGATGTCAGTGAAGTCAGTGAAGCCAGTGATGTCAGTGAGGTCAGTGATGTCAGTGAAGTAAGTGAAGTCAGTGAAGTCAGTGATGTCAGCCTTGTCAGTGATGTCAGTGAAGTCAGTGAAGTAAGTGATGTCAGTGAAGTCAGTGAAGTAAGTGAAGTCAGTGAAGTCAGTGATGTCAGTGAAGTCAGTGAAGTAAGTGATGTCAGTGATGTCAGTGACATCAGTGAAGTCAGTGATGTCAGTGAGGTCAGTGATGTCAGTGATGTCAGTGGAGTCAGTGATGTCAGTGATGTTAGTGAAGTCAGTGATGTCAGTGAAGTCAGCGATGTCAGTGATGTCAGTGAAGTCGGTGAAGTCAGTGATGTCAGTGAAGTAAGTGATGTCAGTGACGTCAGTGAAGTCAGTGAAGTCAGTGAGGTCAGTGATGTCAGTGAAGTAAGTGATGTCAGTGATGTCAGTGACATCAGTGAAGTCAGTGATGTCAGTGAAGTCAGCGATGTCAGTGATGTCAGTGAAGTCGGTGAAGTCAGTGATGTCAGTGAAGTCAGTGAAGTAAGTGATGTCAGTGAAGTCAGTGAAGTAAGTGATGTCAGTGAAGTCAGTGAGGTCAGTGATGTCAGTGAAGTCAGTGAAGTAAGTGATGTCAGTGATGTCAGTGACGTCAGTGATGTCAGTGATGTCAGCCTTGTCAGTGAAGTCAGTGATGTCAGTGAGGTCAGTGATGTCAGTGAAGTCAGTGAAGTAAGTGATGTCAGTGATGTCAGTGACATCAGTGAAGTCAGTGATGTCAGTGAGGTCAGTGATGTCAGTGAAGTCAGCGATGTCAGTGATGTCAGTGAAGTAAGTGATGTCAGTGACGTCAGTGATGTCAGTGATGTCAGTGGAGTCAGTGATGTCAGTGGAGTCAGTGATGTCAGTGGAGTCAGTGATGTCAGTGATGTTAGTGAAGTCAGTGATGTCAGTGAAGTCAGCCTTGTCAGTGATGTCAGTGATGTTAGTGAAGTCAGTGATGTCAGTGAAGTCAGCGATGTCAGTGATGTCAGTGAAGTCAGCGATGTCAGTGATGTCAGTGAAGTCAGTGAAGCCAGTGATGTCAGTGAGGTCAGTGATGTCAGTGAAGTCAGCGATGTCAGTGATGTCAGTGAAGTAAGTGATGTCAGTGAAGTCAGTGAAGTAAGTGATGTCAGTGAAGTCAGTGAGGTCAGTGATGTCAGTGAAGTCAGCCTTGTCAGTGATGTCAGTGAAGTCAGTGAAGCCAGTGATGTCAGTGAGGTCAGTGATGTCAGTGAAGTCAGCGATGTCAGTGATGTCAGTGAAGTCAGCGATGTCAGTGATGTCAGTGAAGTCGGTGAAGTCAGTGATGTCAGTGATGTCAGTGATGTCAGCCTTGTCAGTGAAGTCAGTGATGTCAGCCTTGTCAGTGATGTTAGAGAGACCTGGGTTTCATGGACCCCCCTCAGCCTCCCGCCAAGTGACCCCCAGGGTGAGAACTCACCCCCCCCCCGGGTGAGAAGAAGGACAGAGACGACGTCCATTGTCCTGCAGTCAGACTGAGTGACAGTGGACAGAACCACAGCTGCTGTGAACAACAGCGTGAACAGCCGATGTCACCTGATCACTGTGACATCAGAGACGCTTTCATCTGTGCTCTGATGACTGCAGGGAGGGTCCTGAGGTAACAGTATCCACACACACACACACACACACACACACACACACTCTGCTCTGTTGAACAAGGACAGTCCAGGATTGTCTTCACTCCCACTTGGAATTTGAGAAGTGCACGAGGAAGCATGAAATTGTTTTATTTATTTACGAGCCGCCTCGTTGGCTCTGAGACAGAATGGAACTTAGAACAGTGGGGGGGGGGGGGGGGGGGGGGGGGGGGGGGAA